ATCACAGGTTTGAACCACAGTGCCCAGCTCGAACTGCTCTTTGGAACGCTGACTTTGCCATCTCCCGGGGCGCCTGTTTGCCCTCCCTTTCTCCTGAAATTGGTAGAGGCCAGACCTTGACTCCCTCAGCGGCTGTCGGGGTCCGTCCACTCTCGCCCTTCTCACTCTTGAGGCCCCTTTCCCTGGACCTTGGCTTCAACTCTGTAACGTCCGGGTTCTGCTGCCAAAGGCTTGTCCCGCTGGCCTTTCTGCCACTCCCCATTCTGGTGCCATCGAACACCTTCACGTTACTGTTTCCTGATGTAACCAAGGAGTGTTCGTGAGTCAGGGTAACCCAGTCCAAAATGCAGTTCTGAGACAGAGGGGCTGGGGTTGGTTCTGGTGCCACTGTGTTCGCTGTGAGTTCACGCCGGTTCCGGGCCTGACCTGTGGTGTCTGTCCGACCTCCTCTGCGGGTCGGATGGCTCGAGGGCTGGTCCCGTAGGCTCGGTACCCTCTGCCTGTGGCCCAGCTGGGCCCTCAGGTCTGGTCCCGTCAGCCACTCCTTTCCTGCAGCACGGTTACTTGCTACTCAATACATTATGAAGCTGGACCTCAAAATACAGCGTTCTTGCCTCTTACGACCTTTTTTGCCTAATTGGTTTTTATTTTCTCATTTTCAATTTTCTGTTATCATATTTTGTGTTTGATTTCTTTCTTTCTTCTCCTTTTTTTTTTTTTGGTATTTGAGATCAAATTCAGGATCTTGTGCTTGCAAGGCAGACAGCAGCACCACTGAGCTAAATCCCCCCCCCGCCTTTGTGTTTGATTTCATTCCTAGGGATTGAACCCAGGGCCTTGGCCCTGGGATACATCCCCAGCCTTTTTTTTTAAATTTTGAGACATAGTTTGGTAAATTGCTAAATTTCCAAGGCTGATCAGGTGTGGTGGTGCATACGCGTAATCTCAGCACTCAGGAGGCTGAGGCAGGAGGATCACTGACAGTTTGACACCAGCCTGAACCAAATAGTGAGTGAGTCCTTGTGTCAATTATAATAATTAAAAAAAAAATTGCCCAGGCTGTCCTTGAACTTGAGATCCTCCTGCCTGCTGGGACTGTCCATCCTGAGCACAGTGGAGCTGGCAGCAACTGAGGCAGGAGGATGGCCTCCAGGCCCAGGCCCAGAGACTGCTCAGGCAGGACCCAGCTCGGGCCTCTGTGTCTTCCCAAACCAGGGGGTGTGGCCTCAGGCCATGTGCACCACCCAGCCAGCATGAGTCTCTGGGCTGCCGGCCACTCCCCTCCACCCACCCACCACCTGTGGGCCCACCCTGTGCCCGGTGCCAGGCTGGGCCAAGCTGATCTCCATGCTATGCCCTCTCATCTGCCCAGGGCTTTTCCACACCCAGCACCCATGGTCTCCTGCCCTCATCCCTGAGGCCGAGGCAGACTGGGGCAGCAGACGGGCATGGGAGCCCTGAGCCCCACTCCTGCACAGTGGCCTTTGCCCCGCCCTGTAGCACTGGCCACATCCCCTGGCCTCACCAACCTAGGCCCGCTGCCCAGCTGCAGCCTGCAGCCATCCCGCACGTGCCGCAGGCGTGCTGGCCTCTGACTCTCCCTCAGGGAGCAGGCCCAGCCTGTGGGGTCCAAAGGGCCATCGCCAGGCCTCTGGAGAGTGATCTCTGGGGCGGCCTCTGGCCTGGCTGTAGCCCACGGTGTTTGGAGCAAGTCGGGCAGCCTGGGGGACGTGTCACCTCTGCCACAGCCACCCTCAGCCAAGGGGCAGTGTCACCCCGTGCCACAGCCCAGCCATCCCCAAGCCTGACTGGCCCAGCTGGCCCAGGCCTGCTTCTCCGTGGCCCTGGAGCCCGCAACTGACACTGTGGAAGTCTCTCGTTCGTGAGTCACATCTGGAAGCGACCGGGGCTCTTTCCCCCATCCCGGCACACTCAGTGCCCAGCAGGCATTCCAGGACTGGCGTCCACCTGCCCAGGGCCGTGTCCTGCCACAATCTCCCCAGGGCCCAAGCCCCGCTGCCACCCACTGCGCCAGGCGGAGGGAGTCGGGGGTGCTCACTGCAGAGTCCCTGGCATTTTCTGCCCTCAACACCCTCAGGTGCTCCTGCCCCAGGCTGCTGAGATGCTTGTTGCAGGTGAGGGGCACAGTGGGCCCGGGAATGCAGCCCAGCCTACCCTGAGCGCTCAGCGCCAGCTCCCGGCACTAGGGGTTTCTCCGGGAGGCAGTGCTGGGCAGGCGTGGGGGTGCAGGCCATTGCCTGTGTGGCACCCCAGGTATGGGGCCTTGTGGGGGGGGGTTGAAAATTCTGGAGACTCAGGGCCCAGGCTGTGGGACAAGATCATGTCCACTGTCCACATTGACCCTTTGGGTCATGCTAAGGCTAGGGCTGTACTCAGCAGCAGGGGAAGGAAGCCTCGGAAGGTTTGATGGGTGGAGAATGTAATATAATTGAATTTATAAGCACTAATAAGAAGGTGGTTCAGGCGGGCGTGGTGGCACACACCTGTGATCCCAGCACTCGGGAGGCTGAGGCAGGAGGGTCAGTGTGAGTTCAAGACCAGCCTGGGCTACACAGTGAGTTCCAGGGCAGTCTCAACTACATAGTGAGACCCTATCTCCAAAAACCAAAACCAAACAAATCTAACAACCTAAATTAATGAACGAATGTAAAGAGGTGGGTCATACCTTATGTAGTGGCTCATGCCTATAATCCCAGTACTCTGAGAGGCTGAATCAGAGGATCATAAGTTCAAATCCAGCCTGGGCAATTCAGCACCATAAGACCCTATCTCAAAACATTTTAAATGGAAAAGGAGCATGTAGCTTGGTGCAAAGGCCCTGTTTTCAATCCCTGGCACTGCTAAAAAAAATTAAAAAGAAGACCTGGGTACAAATAGTCCTATGGAGGAGTACTGAACTTGGTGTGTAGGCACTGGGGGGTGGGAGGGTCCCCTGAGGAGCAGGCTGTGTGGGAGGAGGGGCAGCTAACCCAGAGAGACTGGACAGGTTGGACAGCTGGAGCCACCATGAGCTCGGCAGGCCTTTGTTGCCTGTGCCCAGGGCCACAGTTCCAGCTGAGACCTGAGCCTGCAGCCAGGGCAGGGCCGCCCCAGCTCCGGGGCAGGCAGCACAGCTCTCCCGCTGCTCTCCTGCCTTTCTCAGAGCCCTCACAGCCCAGGCAGCCTTCACCGTGTTACTTGGCTGGCAGGGATAGGTCCAGGGCTGGCACTCATGCCACTCCATGGAGGCAGCTGGCTTGGGCAATGGCCCTGGGGCAGGCCCGGCTCGGGAGAGGAGATGCAACTGAGGGCATGTGGCCACTGGATGTGGCCAGCCCTTCTCCCAGGGATTATAAAACGTTCACGGAGGAGGAGGCACCCGGGATCTCTCATTTTGGACTCACCCGAGGTGAAGGGGACCAGCAAGCTCTGTCCCATGCCCTCAGTCTACACTCCCAAGGCCTTCACTGGGCCACAGGCAGAGCAGACCAGGCTGATGGCAGGAGGCAGTGTGCAGGCCTGTCAGCAGGGTGTGTATCCACATAATTTCTCTGAGGCCCACAGCGGGCAGCATAGGTGGGTGAGGGGAGACAGGCTACTTACAGGTTGGCCCTCACACCAGCACCAGGTAGGCAACCCTGGGCACAGGTCCAAGCCGGCAGATGGGCCCAACATGTGCAGCTCCAAGCCTTTGGGCCACCCTCTGCCCTGTAGCCCTCCCACAGCTTGGTCCCAGGGTACTGCAAGGAAAGGCCCAAAAGAACCTGGAGGTTCCAAAGCAGGGCTCCCCGGCCCCTCTGGACCCAGCTGAGGAGGGTGTGAGTTAGCTCAGCTCTGGGGGCTGCTCAGAAGCCACCTATCTGGCCTGGGGCTTCCCTGTCCCTGCCCCTTCCCACCCCAAGTGGGCAGTACAGGCCTGTCCTTCAGTGTCAGCTCACCCCCAACAGATAATCTTGTGGTCCTGTCGCCCTTCTCCCTAAACCTTACTTTTAAGACCCTCCCCAGGCCTGCTGTCAAGATGATTAAAGCAGTAAAGTCCACACAGTCCCTCCGTTTTGTGGGGGGCAGCCAGGGCCTTGTTTTGAGGTGATCGCCCAGTGTCAGTGTGGTGACAGCAAGACCTGGTCCAAGAGGAGACCGACCAGTGGGACAGCCTGTGACAGTGGGCAGGGGCATCCCAGCAAGGGGAGAGGGGTTCAGGGTCTGGGCGTGACCCCGACAAGCCTGCAGGGTGAGGAAGCCCAGTGCTCAGTGTCCCAGAAAGCCTCCACAGGACAGCCAAGCAGCAGCCAGGATGGGAAGAGGGGTGCAAGCAGGGTGAGCATGGAGCCCATTGCAGCCACTTAGGCCAAGTGACCACCTGTGGGCCTGGGCAGCTTAGGGCTCAGTGGCTGCCCCTGACCACTGCCCAGGCTGGCCCCTGTCCAGGGCCACCCTTGCCACACGTAGCACATCCCAGGGTCTCTAGATCCCTTCCCTGGGCAGAGGAGTCTCAGAGCACTGCACACGACACGCTCAAGATAGCAGAGCAGAGACCCCTGGTCCTGTGCAAGTCAGGACCCCTTCAGGCCTGTTCTGACCACACTCCTTACCATGGGCTTTATTTACTTACTTAGTCTTAGCCTGGGGAATGAACCCAGAGCCTTCATCATCTGTGTGAAGGGGATGAGCTATATCCCTAGCCATTTTGTCTTTTATTTTTTATTTTGAGACAGGGTCTCTCCAAGTCCTAGGTTGCCCAGGCTGGCTGGAACTTGCCATCTTCCTGCCTCGGCAGCCTTTTGGAAGGGCAGTTTCAGAGCCAGAGGTTGGAGTGTCAGAGTTGTGGGGCAGGATCCCAACATAGCAGCTGCCCTCAAGCAAGGTCATGCATAGCTCACATGAAGAAAACGAGGGCAAGGGGTCCAGGCCCAGAGCCATCCACAACTAGGACCCCAGCTCTGGGCTCATGCCTGCCCCCTTTGAGCTCCTAATGGTGCCCTGTCCGTTCTCTTCTGCAGAGTCCCCAGCACCTCGCGCAGCCCGCTGCCACCAGGAAGCTGACAGGAGCCCTGTTAGAATGCGGTTTCAGGAGACCTTGGCTATTGAGGGGATGAAGATGGCAGCACAGTCGAGGGCCAGGCCTAGCAGCTCCTTCAGCTCTCGTCCTGCAAGACCTAAAAGTTTCCAGCCGCCTTCCTGGACCCGCAACTACAATGTGAAGGACTGACTTTCTCCACCCTGTGAGGCACAGGACCCCACAAGGGTCTGGGGCTGGGACTGTGCTTTTCCCTGCACGTCAGAGGCTGGCGCACACCTGGCATGCAGTGGGGCCATAAGCTGCAAAGGAGGCTCCCAGGACGCTGCTGAGACGGCCTCCCTGGGGCACCACAGAGCCATTAAAACCTCTGTTGCTTCATCTGATGGCCACAGTGTCCATCTGTCCTGCTCGGGCATGGCACGTCAGATCTGCATGCCCGATCCCGGCCTGGCCCCTGCCACCTGCCTGCATCACTACCCATGGCCAGCCACACACTGCCAGGGGCATGACAGTGGCCCTCCCCAGAGTCTAGTGGCATAAAGAGCAGAATGCCACCCACAAAGTGTGTCCCGCAGTGTCTTGTGAGAGACTGGGCCTGCCCAGGGGCCCCCAGCTGGGTGCTGGTGGGTAGGGGTGAGCCCAGGAGAGCAGACCACAACAGTGCCTTCCACACTCATCTCCCGCAAAGGACAACAGTGGAGCACTGTGCCACCTGGATGCCCAGAGCAGGACACCTGCCGGGATGAAACATACCTGGGTGCACTGTCACGTCAAGTGCCACAGGAACACACCTACAGTACCCTCCCTACCAGAACACTGCATGATGAGGCTCACCCCGCCCGCCCCACACTCCCACATATGCACTCCACTCCAGTGGCCATTAATGACCCTGTCCTGTTGGCTTGTCCTGTGCCTGTTCTCCCAGAGGCCTTGCTTGGCCTTCTCTCCCCCAACATCCAAACCCACAGCAGAGCCCAGGGAGGGTTGCGACCTCAGTCTTGCTGAGTGTCCTCCAGCAGCGCTGCCCTTTCTGACCCCGACTGACAACTCCTCTGGGAGGATCATGGGGTGGGGGTACCCTGAGCCCTAACTTGCAGTTGAGGGCCAGGTAAACATCACAGGGAGGGTCCGACCACCAGCGAGATCACTGAGGCAGGCTGAGAAGTCACAGGCCCAGGTCACATTGCTTTGCAAATCTCTCTTGCAACCACCCTGTGTTCCTAAAGTTGGCATCATCCATTTCTCCAGGTGAACGGACAAACAGCTATGTGGATGTCTTTAACATGTCCACCTGGGGACACAAGGACAATGGCAGGCCATCGATGCCCCTGAGATGCCAGATGCACCTTTGGGGGGTCCAGTACTACCCTTTTGGGTGCGTGTTCCTGAGGTGAGGCCTGGCCCTGTGCCCTCCTGAGTATGAAGAGCACAGAAGTGCTCCCCTTCAGAGCCTCAGATTGAGCCCCAAGCTGCTACTCTCTGGACTAGTCCATCTTCTGGACTCAGCCACCACCTGAGTCCAAGAGCGCAGAGGGCAGAGGCCCACTGACGAGCAACTGCCCAGGGAGTCTGGAAAGCCTGTCAGACCCGAAGACACCCATGGAAAGGGGTCGGTTGTCCAGGCTGGGGCCCTGCAGATGCAGAAAGGGGAGCAGAGGAGCAGAGCAGCCAGGCTCATACTGGCCCTGGGACGTGGGTGGTTGGAGCAGGAGGTGCATGCAAGGATGGCTACGCCTCCCAGGCCCGCTCTCCCTAGGTGGCCCAGCCAATACCGGGGCTCATCTGGTTCTTTGGGTTGCCAGTTTTGCTTTTACTCCGAAAGTTCGGCAAGCCTTGAGTAGAAGTCACGAGGGAGATCGGGAGGGAAAGGGCGCCGAAAGCCCGAGGCCTCCATAAGAGGAGGCAGTGGCTTCTTTGTTCCCAACGCCCCCGCCTGGAATCTGACGCACCGCCGCACCCTGCTCCTGGGCCGGCTCCGGGATGCGCAGCCTGCATCCCCCCTTCCCCCGGGGGTGGCTGCACCCAGGAGCAACGG